AGACAGACAAAGTGTCTGGGTCTCCCCAGACCACCAAGAACTTGCCACCATTTATTATGATCCACATAGTCAAAAGCTTTAGAATCTATATAAATAAACATGTTATGTTCGTTTGTGGGATTAACATAATTCAAAAACCACTGGGCAAATTACCACCAATTTTGGCCACAAGCCACCTACTAACCCAAAGAGTGACCATCACTAAAAAAATGATTTTGTCATTTGGGAGTTGTAGTTGCTGGGATTTATAGTTCACCTAAAATCAAAGAGCATTCAGAACTCTACCAATGATGGAATTGAACCAAACGTGCCACACAGGACTCCCATGACCAACATGGGCATCGATGTGCATTGACCTTGAGTTTGGGAGTGGTAGTTCACCAACATCCAGAGAGCGCTGTGGATTCAAACAATGAAAGATCCAGTCCAAACTTGGCATGAATATTCTATATGCCCAAATATGCACACAGATGGAGTTTGGGGGAAAATAGACCTTGATATTTGGGAGTTGTAGTTACTGGGATTTATAGTTCAGCTACAATCAAAGAGCATTCTGAACTCCACCAACAATGGAATTGAACCAAACTTGGCATGCAGAACTCCCACAACAAAGAGAAAATACTGGAAGTCTTTGGTGGGCATTGACCTTGAGTTTGGGAGTTGTAGTTCACTTACAGAGACCATTGTAACCTCAAACAATGATGGATCTGGACCAAACTTGGCGTAGATACTCAATATGCCCAAATGTGAACACTGGTGGAGTTTGGGGGAAATAGATCTTGACATTTGGGAGTTGTAGTTGCTGGGATTTATAGTTCACCTACAATCCAAGAGCATTCTGAACTCCACCAACAATGGAATTGAACCAAACTTGGCATGCAGAACTCCCACAACCAAGAGAAAATACTGGAAGTGTTTGGTGGGCATTGACCTTGAGTTTGGGAGTTGTAGTTCACCTACACCCAGAGTGCACTGTACCTCACCAACGATAGAATTGGGCCAAACTTCCCACACAGAACCCCCATGCCTTGAAGGGACTTGCTCGTATGAGCCTCCCTCCTTAAGGCCATCCAGTCCAACTCCCTTCATCAGTGCAAGAAAACACAATCAAAGCCCTCCTGACAAAGAGCCATCCAGCCATAGATATAGATGATTCACACAGAGAGAGAGATAGTATCCTTTGAACACTGTGGTCTGGGAGCACTGGAGGCTTTGACAGAACCAGCAAAGTGCCTCTGGCCGCGTGCAGAGAGCCGTCCTTCCTTCCTCTAGCCACACAGTCATCTCCCACGCGTTTGGGATTTAAGCAGACGTGGCCGAAGCTTGGCGGGCAAACACAATAGGCAGTTAAACTGTGCTTAATCCATCCCGATCATGTGCCTGGAGCTATCCACAGCAGGCCTATTTATTCGCTGCTTAATTTCCTGATACGCACACCAACACATGGAGCGGTTGCTATTTTGCTCTGGGCAGCCATTGGGGTGGGATGGGGTTGCGCTAGGGAGCTCAACAGGCTTGCACCACTGTTTGCCGTGATATCCAAACGTATTGATAGACACATAAACAAACATTCTTGTTTGTCCTCCCCACCCATTCGATCCCAGTATTTGTTGTCGAAGGCTTTCCTGGCCGGAATCACTGGGTTGCTGGGAGGTTTTCAATCTGATTGACCATGTTCCAGAAGCATTCTCTCCTGACGTTTCGCCCACATCTATGGCAGGCATCCTCAGAGGTTGTGAGGTCTGTTGGAAACTAGGCAAGTGGGGTTTATATATCTGTGGAATGATGTCCAGGGTGGGAGAAAGAAGTCTTGTCTGTTGGAGACAAGTGTGAATGTTGCAATTGCCCCCCTTGATTAGCATGGAATAACCTTGCAGCTTCAAAGGCTGGCTGCTTCCTGCTTGGGGGAATCCTTTGTTGAGAGGTGTTAGCTGCCCTGATTGATTCTTGTCTGGAATTCTCATTTTTTTTAGTCTTCCTCTGCTTGAGGCAAGTTTTGTATGATGTTTTAGAGTTGCTGTTAGCCGGTCTGAGTCACTCCGTGGAGGTTTAGAACAGTGTTTCTCAACCTGGGGGTCGGGACCCCTGTGGGGGTCGCGAAGGGGTGTCAGAGGGGTCACCAAAGACCATCAGAAAACATACTATTTTCTGTTTGTCATGGGTGTTCTGTGTGGGAAGGTTGGTGGGGTTCAGAATGTGGGTGAACTATGAATCCCAACAACTACAACTCCCAAAAATCAAGGTCTATTTTCTCCAAACTCTACCAGTGTTCACATTTGGGCATATTGATTATCTGTGCCAAGTCTGATCCAGATCCATCACTGTTTGAGTCCACAGTATTCCCTGGATGTACGTGAACTACAACTCCAAAAACTCAAGGTCAGTGTCCACCAGACTCTCCCAGTATTTCTCTTGGCCATGGGAATTCTGTGTGCCAAGTTTGATTCAATTCCYTCATTGGTGGAGTTCAAAAGSKTCTTTGATTTTAGGTGAACTATAAATCCCAGCAACTCCAAKATTCCCAAATGACAAAATCAATCCCCTCCAACCCCACCAGTATTCAAATTTGGGCYRATRAGGTATTTYTMCCAAWTTTGGTCCAGTGAATGAAAATACATCCTGCATATCAGATATTTATATTACGATTCATAACAGTAGCAGAATTAAAGAAGTAGCAACGAAAATAACGTTATGGTTGGGGGTCATCACAACATGAGGACCTGTACTAAGGGGTCGCTGCATTAGGAAGGTTGAGAACCACTGGTTTAGAAGATCGGGATAGAAAAGTTTTCGATAAATAAATAAGTGTGAATGTTGCAACTGATCATCTTGAGGAGCATTGAATAGCCTTGCAGCATCAAATCCTGGCTGCTTCCTGACTGGGGGAATCTACTGAATAAGCCAGTACCTGCCACATATGTTGCTTAAGTTGCATTGACCGACTGTCTGCACAGGCTTCCATACTTCGCACTTTAACAACACAACCATTCAATGCTAAGGCTTCCCACCAAAATGGAACTGTAGAGGAGAGTCTACTGAACTAGTCAGTACCTGCCACATCTATTGCTTAAGTCACATTGACCGACCATCTGCACAGTATTCCATACATCGCACTTTAACAACACAACCGTTCAATGCTAAGGCTTCCTGCCAAAATGGAACTGTAGAGGAGAGTCTACTGAACAAGCCAGTACCTGCCGCATACGTTGCTTAAGTTGCATTGACCAACTGTCTGCACCGGGTTCCATACTTTGCACCTTAACAACACAACCGTTCAATGCTAAGGCTTCCCACCAAAATAGAACTGTAGAGGAGAGTCTACTGAACAAGCCAGTACCTGCCGCATATGTTGCTTAAGTTGCACTGACCAACTGTCTGCACCGGGTTCCATACTTTGCACCTTAACAACACAACTGTTCAATGCTAAGGCTTCCCACCAAAATAGAACTGTAGAGGAGAGTCTATTGAACAAGCCAGTACCTGCCGCATACCGGTACTGCCATCTGTTGAGGAGTTACGAAGGTGGAGGCATTACTTTTCATTCAACCCTCGTAGATCCAAAAGGCAGAAGGAACGTTGTGTTAAGGCTCCTAGACGCAGGGGCTTGTTGGGTTCAGCTACTACGTTTAACTGGACCCTCCATGAGGGTCTCTTTCCCCTAACAGACAGGACAACATTGTTCCAGAGCAGAGGCTGATGAGTACTGGGCACTAAGAAGGAAGCTAGAGTTCAAAGCCTCCCAGGTCCCCAATGCAAATTCATGGTCTGAACATTGGAGCGAGCCAGCCTCAGTTTCCCTATCTGAGTAATAGGATCAAGGAACTAGCTTCGAACCTGCTATGAGGAAGAGAGAAGGATCACAGCCTCCCCTCCCAAATGAACATTTCGAACTCGTAAATGGAAGTGGTATACAGATGACAGTAATATGTGGGGTGTACAATAGGTGTGTGTTTTGACTGTAATGTGACCTGCTTTGAGCCACGAAGAGAGGCAGGTAAGAAATATAATAATAATAATAATAATAATAATAATAATAATAATAATATCCCATCCTCAGCTGCTACAAGAAGATTGCACTGATTGACTACAAGCAGAGGCACAACACCATTGTGCAGATGATTAATTGGAATACCATCTGCCTGCGACAAAGAAATGGTGGGATCACAAGCCTGAGAAAGTTACAGAGAATGAACACGTCAAGATACTCTGGGACTTCTGGATTCAGACAGACAGACTTATGGAGCATAATACTCCTGACCCTACTGGATTGTTGATGTTGCAATCCCAGGTGACAGCAGGATTGAATACTCCAGAGGACAGGAGCAGGATTCAAAACGATCTTGACAGATTAGAGAGATGGGCCAAAATTAACAAAATGAAGTTCAAAAGTGACAAATGCAAGATACTCCACTTTGGCAGGAAAAACGAAATGCAAAGATACAGAATGGGGGATGCCTGGCTCGAGAGCAGTACGTGTGAAAAAGATCTTGGAGTCCTCGTGGACAGGAAGTTAAACATGAGCCAACAATGTGATGTGGCGGCAAAAAAAGTGTCTGACGTGTGATCCAATACAACAGCCAGCAGAGTGTCTGCTGTGAACTCATCTTATTGTGTTTCTAATAATAATAATAATAATAATAATAATAATAATACTAATAATAATAATAATAATAATGTCAGCTCTAGATTACTAAATATGGTTTTCTGTGGGCGAGCAGATGGTGACTACTACATGCCATATGTTCTGTATCAGAAACCAGAGCTGATGTGGTCTATCCAATGCAATGTTCTGAATCAGTACCCCAAATAACCAAACAGAATCTAAAGTTGACCAAAAACTAATGTCGGAGAGCGGTCCCTGGTAAAAAAAAAAAGGTTGGGAACCACCGATCTATATAGATATGGAGTTCCCAGTGGTGAGGGTACATTGGATATCACCAAAAGACATTGTGGATTTTGCATGACACGAATTCCCAATCTTTATGCTGCATTTCCCTCACCTGCCAATGCCTTGATGCGGGAGCGCTCGAAAAGCCGGGCCGAACTGTTCTCATTGTCCCAGTCTTCGTCAGCCACTTCCCAGCGGTTGTTGATGTCGTTGTATTGCTGCTGGATCTCCAGGCTGTCGTAGTCCGTGGGGGAGAGGGTGCTACTCATGGCGATCGGGGCACGGGACCAGCGTCCACCTGCAAAGAGGGACACAAGCCGGCAATGATCCACTATCAACTCTTTCCACTACCTAAAAGAATCCCACACCTTGTGTGACTGTGAAGCAGAACAGACAACTCCGCATCTGAATGCTAGTCCACTGTGCCCTGCCTCACGTACAGATGGAAGAATTGTTGGAGGCTACAGACAATGCCGTTGCTGTTGCCCGTTTTCGGTCAAAAGATATTTAGCCACCGGTACTCTTCTATTTTTATACTAATTTATGCAATGCTTTTGATACGAAATTAATAAATCCAAGGAAGGAGACTTTACCATCATTTAAGGCAATCTACTACACTGTTTTACTGTCAGGAATTTCTTTGCAAACGTATAAGTGCAATCTGAATGAATGGATTTTATTATCTGAATGTATCTCCCTCTATGTTCCACCTCGTAGTTGAAGAACCACCGGGGAGGCCCTGCTCTTAGTTCCACCGGCCTCGCAAACTCGTGATTAGGGACAGGGCCTTCTCGGTGGTGGCTCCCAGCTTGTGGAATTGGCTCCCCAGTGATATTAGATCGACGTCCTCCCTCCTTTCCTTTAGGAAAAAACTGAAATTGCGGTTTTGGAAGCAGGCTTTTGGCTAAGAGGCACAAACGGCACTTTGGACACTGAATTGGACTTTATGATGATTATTATGATAATGGAAATGGCTACTATGACTGTATAATTATTGTTTACTAGCCATCCCCTGCCACGTGTTGCTGTGGCCTAGTCTGGTGATCTAGAAAATAAAATAATGAGAAAGTGTTGGTTTCTAATATATGTTCATGGGGTTCAGAATGCTCAATGTTTGTAGGTGAACTGTAAATCCCAGTAACTACAACTCCCAAATGTCAAGGTTTATTTTCCCTAAACTCTATCTGTGTTCATATTTGGGCATATTGACTATTCCTGCCAAGTTTGGTCCAGATCCATCTCTGTTTGAATCCACAGTGCTCTCTGGGTGTAGGTAAACTACAACTCCCTCAAATCAAGGTGATTTCCCCCCAAAGACCTCCAGTATTTTTTGCTGGTCATGGGGGCTCTGTGTGCCAAATTTGGTCCAATTCTATCTTTGGTGGAGTTCAGAGTGCTTAGTGATTGCAGGTGAACTATACATCCCAGTACCCACAACTCCAAAATGTCCAGGCCCATTCCTCCCAGTATTCAAATTTGGGTATATCGGGTATGAATGCCAAGTTTGGTCCAGATCCATCATTGTTTGCATTCGTATTGCGCTCTGGGTGTAGGTGAACTACAACTCCTCTAAATCCCTCCAAAGACCTCCAGTATGTTTTGCTGCTCATGGGGGTTCTGTGTGCCAAGTGAGTTCCAGGTCCATCATTGGTGGAGCTCAGAGTGCTCTTAGATTGCAAGTGGACTATAGATCCTACGAGGGTTGAATGAAAAGTAATGCCTCCACCTTCGTTACTTGGGTTTGGATGGGAAGATTTTAATAAATCAAACACAGAAATAATCCTTAGAATGTGCTCTTTAACTACCACTATTCACTTTTCCACATAATCATCAAACAATTGGATACATTTCTGCCAATGATGAACAAGTTTTCTGAAGCCATCACGGAAGAAGTCGACACTAGCGTCTCACAGGTCTCTCATCCTGGGTACCCATCGTGCACAGATCTTCCGATAACCAAGCAAAGCAATAATGTGACTCACACGTTCTTGTGAAATGCCAGTTATGCTTGAAATTTCTCTCTGAGTGATACGACGATTGTCCTGAATCAATCTGTCAGCCTTTTGCTTGTGAAACTCAGTGGTTGCTGTCACAGGACGCCCAACTCTTTGTTTGTCACGCAAGTCAGATGTTCCCGCCTCAACATCTTCAAACTTTCTCACGCAACAACGCACAGTACTCACATCAACACAATCCCCATCAACAGCTTGCATTCTCTGATGAATCTCCTTTGGGGTGACACCTTCTGTTGTCAAAAATTCAATGACTGCACGTTGCTTAAGTTGCATTGACCGACCGTCTGTGCAGGGTTCCATACTTCGCACTTTAACAACACAACTGTTCAATGCTAAGGCTTCCCGCCAGAATGGAACTGTAGAGGAGAGTCTACTGAACAAGCCAGTACCTGCCGCATATATTGCTTAAGTCGCATTGACCAACTGTCTGCGCAGGGTTCCATACTTCGCACTTTAACAACACAACCTTTCAATGTGAAGGCTTCACACCAAAATGGAACTGTAGAGGAGAGTCTACTGAACAAGCCAGTACCTGCCGCATACGTTGCTTAAGTCGCATTGACTGACTGTCTGCACAGGGTTCCATACTTCGCACTTTAACAACACAACCGTTCAATGCTAAGGCTTCCTGCCAAAATGGAACTGTAGAGGAGAGTCTACTGAACAAACCAGTACCTGCCACATACGTTGCTTAAGTCGCATTGACCGGCTGTCTGTGCAGGGTTCCATACTTCGCACTTTAACAACACAACCATTCAATGCTAAGGCTTTGCACCAAAATAGAACTGTAGAGGAGAGTCTACTAAACAAGCCAATACCTGCCGCATACCAGTACTGCCATCTGTTGAGGACTTACAAAGGTGGAGGCATTACTTTTCATTCAATCCTCGTATAATTCATGGTGATTTCTCCCCAAACCTGTCTAATATGTTCCATTTCTGATCAATTCCTCTGTTTGCCATAGAAAAGAATAGGAAAGGGTGATGGGAGAGGCAGTGGGTGGGGTCATACAAATTCCACACCAATGGAGAGAGTCAGAAACACTGGGATGCCTGTGGTGGAGAAAACACATACAATCTAGGATGGAATTGTCCCCGTATGAAAGCCTTCACTTGGGTGGTGGGCAGTGTGGTGTTGGTGGAGGACATTGGCAGGGCTCTTGGACACCAGAAAGGCATCTAACTTGGTAAGAGAACCCACCTTTCTGGACTGCATCCTTGCGATTTACGTGGGAGCCGTTTGCTGGTTTTGTGGCCACATGGACAGGTTTAGGGAAGCTTTGAGGAGAAGGGGTGCTTTCCAAAAGTTGTACAATCAGCAAGTAGAGAGGAGAGAGGCTGCAGCGATGTGGAAAATGTTTAAATCCCGCACAGGACGGCCACAGCAAGCATGCGTTCGGGTGGCGCCACTCACATCCCCAAAGGATCAATATCACCGCTGGCTCTTTTTCTGACACATATACTCACTAATCTGCATGTTTTGTGGGATGTTTTCAAAGCACAACACTGCCCTTTTGGTATGCATCTGTCACACATCCATATGTTTTTTTTTCTACAGCTCTCATTTGAAACGGTTACAAGTTCTCATCTGGAATTCCAACATCCCAAACAGTCCACAAGACTAGCTTGGCTTTCGGATAGTTCAATGCGCACACATTTTGTTCCATGCGCAACATTATTTAAAATGTCATGGATCAAATTACCTTCAGGATATGGGCACAAAGTGTCTTCTTCCCTGGAGACTAGGACGCGGAACAATGGGTTCAAACTACAAGAGAGGAGATTCCATCTGAACTTGAGGAAGAACTTCCTGACTGTGAGAGCCGTTCAGCAGTGGAACTCTCTGCCCTGGAGTGTGGTGGAGGCTCCTTCTTTGGAAGCTTTTAAACAGAGGCTGGATGGCCATCTGTCAGGGGTGATTTGAATGCAATATTCCTGCTTCTTGGCAGAATGGGGTTGGACTGGATGGCCCATGAGGTCTCTTCCAACTCTTAGATTCTATGATTCTATGAAACATACATAAATTGTGTGTTTCAACTTGGATCCCACCTCCATTATGTATATGCAAGTGTTCAAACATCTGAAATCCCAAATCTGTCTGTATCTATCTATCTATCTATCTATCTATCTATCTATCTATATACAGTATCTCTATCTATTTGTCTCTGTCTAAATACAGTATCTATCTGTCTGTCTGTCTATCTAAATACAGTATCTGTCTATCTAAATACAGTATCTATCTATTGATCTATCTATCTGTCTATCTATCTATCTATCTATCTATCTATCTATCTATCTATCTATCTATCTATCTATCTATCTATCTAAATACAGGATCTATCTATCTATCTATCTATCTATCTATCTATCTATCTATCTATCTATCTATCTATCTATCTATCTATCTATCTATGTAAATACAGTATCTGTCTGTCTGTCTAAATACAGTATCTATCTATCTATCTATCTATCTATCTATCTATCCATCTATTTATCTATGTAAATACAGTATCTGTCTGTCTAAATACAGTATCTATCTATCTATCTATCTATCTATCTATCTATCTATCTAAATACAATATCTATCTATCCATCTAAATAAAGTATCTATCTATCTATCTATCTATCTATCTATTTAAATACAGTATCTATCTATCTATCTATCTATCTATCTATCTATCTATCTATCTATCTAAATACAGCATCTCTATCTATCTGTCTGTCTATCTATACTGTATCTATATATCCATCTAAATAAAGTATCTATCTATCTATCTATTTAAAAATAATATCTATCTATATATCTATCTAAATACAGTATCTATCTATCTATCTATCTATCTATCTATCTATCTATCTATCTATGTAAATATAGTATCTATCTATCTGTCTATCTATCTAAATGCAATATCTATCTATCATCTATCTATCTATCACCTATCTATAGTATCTATCAATTGATCTATCTATCTATCTATCTATCTACATAGAGTATCTGACTGTTTGTCTATCTGTCAGTCGGTCTGTCTGTCTGTCTGTCTATCTATCTTATCTATCTATCTATCTATCTATCTATCTATCTATCTATCATTCGATCCAGCCACCACCCACCTACAGTATCTATCTGTTGGTCTAGTGTATGCCTGTTTATCTATCTAAATACAGTATCTATCTATCCTTCTATCTAAATACAGTATCTATCTATCCTTCTATCTAAATACAGCATCTATCTATCCTTCTATCTAAATACAGTATCTGATTGTCTGTCTATCTATCTATCTATC